GTTTCTATTTATTTTTCCTTCTTAATGTGCATTCATTGCTAAATCCTACTTATTTTCTGCTCCTTTTCAATTGTATTCTACAAAATAAATTGAAATCAATTTGCTATCTGATTTCAATTTTGAATCAACTTACTAAGCACTTTCTTTATTGTTTGCCAGTATTAAAATGGCGTAATACACTATTCTTAGTTGTACCAGTTTCGCTTGCAATTTTGAATTTTAAACCGAAATACATCTTGGTCACTTGCTCATGATATTTATTTGTACTTTTCACTTTGGTTATCAGGCTGTGATTACAGAACGATATGGTTCGCACGGATGTAATGTTGGAGAAGATGGTGGTTTTGCTCCTAATATATCCAGGCAAGTTTTCTCATTTGGTCTCTTCTGTTGTGCCAAATCAATTGTCTTACCCTTTTGCGCTGCAGCTTGAAAGAAGGCCTGGAGTTTGTAAAGGAGGCTATTGGAAGAACAGGTTACAACGAGAAAATAAAAATAGCACTTGGTGTTGCTGCAACTGAATTTTGCATAGGTGATGTTCTGTCTTGAAAAATGACACTCTTACCATCAATATGTATGCACACACAATCGTGCTGGATTAAACAAATACGAGAGATACCACCAAAAAAAGAAAATCCTTTTTGAGACCAGACCGATAATTTTTGTACTTATCTGTCTCTTGCAAACAAACTAGTTAAGCCTAGTTTGTACTTATCTGATGCTTGTACCCTATCCCCACCTCATTTTGTAGAATTCTGTGTGTTGCCTGTTGAATCACTTGAACCGTAGTAGTGACCAGCTCTTTGTAGGATTGACCATAATGTGGATCAAATAAATATGTTCAGATTCATTTAGATTTGTATTTGTTTATTGATCTACTTTCAATTGGTAAGAAATGAGTTTTGTTTTCTGTCTATTCAGGTACCAAGTATGATTTGGATTACAAATCAGCAAATAAATCAGGTCAGAATTTTAAATCAGGAGAGGACATGATTGATATGTACAAAGAACTCTGTGAAGGTATTTCTATTGCAAATCAAATTTCTCGTGTAATTTTTTTGATCTGATTTATACAAAGAACTGTATGAAGATATCTGATTTTCAGCTCAGAATTCATTCTAGTTCTTCCATCTAGAATTACATTTTAAATCTAAATTTGCTTTTATATGCTGTCTCATTTCCTCGTTTCCTTGTTTGGTTGTTCTCTCAGCCTATCCGATTGTATCAATTGAGGATCCATTTGATAAGGAGGACTGGGAACACTCCAAGTATTTCACTAGTCTTGGACTGTGCCAGGTTTGTTTACCATTCTTACCGACTACCAACAAAGCCTGTAATCACCTACTTAATTGAACTAGTTTGATATAATGACAAAAGTAGCGGTGAATCACAATTTCTGGTGTCAAGTTTCACAGGTGGAATAGATGGTCACTCACTTATGAATTCCTTATGATCTATTCATTATGCTAGCGTTAGTTGGTATATACACTACTTTGTTTGTGACCCAAGTTATTGTGGTGCCATTTAATACATTCAATTCTGAAAGCTCCTTCTTGTTCCAGGTTGTAGGAGATGACTTATTGATGTCGAATCCTAAAAGAATTGAGAGAGCTGTACAGGAGTCTGCTTGCAATTCTCTTATGCTCAAGGTAACTTCTGATTAATAATCGAACTTTAGGTTTGCAAGTGAATGCTTTGCCCCACTTTTTTTAATGCAGCCTAATATTAAGATAGTTTTCTGGGTAAGATAACAGATGGATGGTCGGAACACTAGACGGTGCCATCTGTGTTCTTCAAGCTACAAAATCTTAGATTTTGAGCAACAATTGTTTCTGGCTTTTACTCTCGCTGATACAAAAATGTCCATCTGGGTATATCATTTAGAACAATAACAACTTAATTCACTCTTCGAAAGTATACTTATTTGCACTAACATTGATGCTATTTTTCTTAAGCATGTACTGAACGAAGTGATCAAAAATGCCTTAATCGACACTGTTCCCTTTTGCAATTTCTACAAAAATCAGGTGAACCAGGTTGGGACTATCACTGAGGCCATTGAAGCAGTGAAGTTAGCTAAGGATGCCAACTGGAGTGTGGTGATATCTCAGAGAAGTGGTGAAAGTGAAGATTCTTTCTTAGCTGATTTAGCTGTTGGTCTCGCCACCGGTCAAATCAAGGCAGGCGCACCTTGCCGTGGAGAGAGACTAGCAAAGTACAACCAGGTCAACATCTATTATCATATCCTTCAGTTCTTTATTTTCTATTTTCTAGCATCACCATGTATGTTTTCTTGGCAAGATATATGAAAATCGATTTTTTTTTATTTTTTTTTGTAACTGCAGTTGCTTAGAATCGAGGAAGAGCTCGGGGATCAAGCATTTTATGTTGGTGATGACTGGAGGCACTGCTGACAGACCTTCCACAAGTTATATTCGTATTTATTTTCTTTACACCATCTTGTTATACGACAAGTGGCTACTCAGTTTTCTACATAATGGGCTGTAGTTTTGATATAGGGAGTGCTTCAAATGCCTTGCTGGTCTGTGAGTTTTCGATTTTTTGAGGAGCGACGAAGCAGGAGAATGGTAAATCGTGAAATTTAAACGAGTACTAAAATTTTTGAGTGGCTGGGTACAGTCTCTGAAACTGGTGGAAAGATCTATTTTTTGAATTGGGTATTGTAACATGTTCCTTGAGATTACAAATTCGCACCAAAACACTAATTACTCATTTCCAGTGTATAGTTTTACACATCGTAGTACACTTAACATTTGATGGAACGAGACTGATTTAACTTTAATTTTTTCTGGAGTACACTTAACATTTGATAACAGTTTTTTTTTTCTTCAACAAAAATTTGCTTTTCGGATTATCTTTATCTTGATATATACACAATATGTAGTTGTTTCAACATTAAGATGATCAAATTATATTTTGAGTTCGTAATTTTTAACGTCAAAGCATAAACCCATGAATCCTAGATTACGTGCAGTTAATACTTCAATAAAGAAAAATTCACTCTAATCACAGAATTTGACAAAAAGAAGCCAAGGCATCATCACTAATACAAATCAAACAATGCAGCTCTAATTGCAATACTTCCTTCTTACTTTCTAGAGCATAAGCAGTAGCAGCATAAGAACAGTGTTCGAAAAACACCAAGGAAATCAAACATAGTGTCGACAATTACATCAAGAAAATGCAGAAGAAACAGATATACAAGACCTACAAGGCTTGCGAATTTAACTACGACCAAGGAAAAGAAACACTCGAATAATGAATCTCAAGGTTTGGCATCTTCATCATCATCTTCAATCTTGGGCGCCAAGTAAAACCTGATATAGCCCATTTCCGCAATCTTGTACTCAACCACCACTGGAAGCTCCGAAGACAAGCTTAATGTTACAGTGTTCGACAACGGAGTTGCCTTTGTGAACGAGTTGAAGTACCTCAGTGCAAAGGTCAAAGACACTGGCTCGTTCATTTCTATCACAGTTGCTTCCTCTGGCTGTGCATTACAAAACAAACACAATTATCAATAATCCACCGATAAGAAACAAGATTGGCTTAAAAAAATTAAAGAAGAAAAAAGGGAACAAGAATCAACCTTGTCGACAGTGGTGTTTTGCCTGCAGACGATATTTGCAGTTCCGATATCTCCTCTTGTTGAGAACTTTACACCTTCCTTTGTAACAGAAATCACAACTGCAAACACAAACCACAAGAAAAGGTCAATCTCGATGCGTTTATAACAAACAAATTCTTATGTAATGGCTAAACTTGATTAAGAATAAATAAGTAATGTTTACCTGTGTCACCGATGCTGCTAAGATCTTTACAAATTCTTGCAAACTCGGAAGACGGCATTCTGACTATGGCATGGTACTCAGCTTCGGGAATTCCAAGATGCTCGCTGTCGATATCCATAAGCTTCATCTCGAAATCTGCAATCTTGTCTTGAGCTGTGGGAACAAAATCAAAAAATGATTATTAAAAGAAAGCAACAGTTATAAACCAGACTATACTTCTATGAATCTTGTTACAAATTCAACCTACAGCACCATACAGCGTGTACTAAACACATAAAACCAATTTTAAATTTTGAACAACTGGATACAACTATAAAAAAATGTGATAAAACATATGTTGCAATGATTAAGTAGCTGAAAATAAAGAAGGTTTAGAAAATTAGATTACTTAAAGTTCAAACCAGTCACCATTGGTAAGGAGATTATGAAACTTTCTTATATTTTGATAAGTACCATTTGATACCCTTCTGAAAATCTAAAACAACTCACAACAACCAATATCGAGGGTTTTTCCACAGCACATTATCCTTTACCCTAAATATATGTGCCAACAAAGAGCAACACATTCATTCACCTTCCTCACCATCTCAACCCTATATAAACTCACTCTCTTTCAAACAACCAAATAAATAAAATGGTAGAATGATTGTAAACTTCTATCAAACTTGCAAACTAAAAAATGGAAAAAATCGCAAAAGTTCGTATCTCTTCACATTAACAAGAGAACTTGCTGTAGATCTATCATATCTCTATTTCTTTTCAAACATACAAGAGGAGATGATTAAATTAACAAGAGATCGAATAAGGCCAAAGGTCATTTCTATATTTCCTAAATAATAAATCAGTTTGTTTATGTTTCATCCTTCACTCCATTCACTGTAAGATGGGAAAAGAGTAAACTATCACAAATAGCAGCAGAGAGAAAATCAACAACAAAATAAATCAATTAAAAAGGGGGTAAAAGAAGAAAGAGAACACATACTAGGGCTTTCAAACATAAAAGTGACAACATCGCTGCCGTCATCAGCCTTGAGTGTGATGATGTCATCGTTTCCGGCGCACTTCAACATCTTGGCCATGTTACCGAGGTTCATACCCATGGAGATGTTGCGGTCGCAGCGGTAGTGCTCGAAACCCTCCGACCGGAGCAGAAGCGCCACCAGCGCCACGTGGCTGGAATCCATGGCCTGAAGGGAGAATCCGGTGGCGGAGCAGTCGAAATTCGCATCGTTCACCAGATCCTTCACCGCTTCCAGAACCTTCTTCAGCAAGCTCCCCTGCACCAGCCTCAGTTCCAACATCTCTCTTCAATTTTTTTAATCACAATTAATCAAACGCCTGATTTCGTTTCTTCGCCGGACTGAAATTGGGGGTTCGGTGAGTGCAATTTTTGGAGGGGAAATTGGGGTTAGGGTTTGAGCGAGAGGGAGGGTTCTGCGATTATATAGAAAGAAGAGTACCGAGGAATCTAGGGCTTTTGATTGGCGGGAAGTGGGGCGGGTCAAAATGGAATTATATTTCTAATTCCCGCCAAAAAAAAAATATATTCTGAAAATGAAAAGGGAATGAATGGGCTTTGGGCCACCCGGCCCATATAATTGTAAACATAAATATAATGTAAATTACAACCATCTCCCTAAGGTGAAGGGTAATTACAAAAAAAAAAACAACCTTATCTTTGAGAAATTACATTCAGCCCCTGAAGTTTGTAAATTTCTTACACTCATCCCACTACAAAAGGGTGTTAATATAAGAAATCTACAAATTAAAGGGGAGTGAATGTAATAATGGAAAGATGAGGGTTTTTTTCATAAATATATCGTACCTTAGAAGGTGGTTGTAATTTACCCATATATAATTCACTCGCCTTTTAACCTTTTTATATAAAAATCCAGGTAAAGAAAATGATTTCAATTGAATATCAACTTCAATTCTATCAATTGAATATCACCTTTTAACCTTTTTCATAAATGATTTGTAACATTTCGTTGCCCAGAACTTTTGGTGACAAGGAAACGGCAACGAAGGTGGCAACAAAATAATTTTGTTGCAAGAGGAATTGGCAACGAAATTAAAGTGTTTTGACAACAAAACATATTGTTGCCAATTTGACAATTTCTTGTAGTGTAAGGTTGTGACCAATGTTACTTACACACACACATTACTATAGAATGGTCCATCAGTTAATAAAGTCCACTTGTGGGAAGCCACTGGAAGGAAGAACCTGAGCCATTGGATTTTATCCAACTCATCATAGCCATTGTCTCTTTCTGACTCTCCCTTTCCCCTTGTCCTCTCTCTTTCTCGTTTTGTGCGCTAGAGCCTTTGTTCTTCTCATTTGCCCTCTTCTTCTCTTTACTCCTTTTGCTCCAGCAACTATGGCCAAACGCCGTTGTCCTCGGTCGTGCTTGTCCCAGTGGTGGTCCCTTCAACGATTACATTTGACTGAAGCACCTATTTAATGTGGGGATTGAAGTGGCAGAAGGTGAGACCGAGAGAAAAACCCTAATTTCAAAACCTAATCCATCTCTTCTGTGAGTTGGGTATGTGGTGTGTGGGTGAGCTGCCGAGTGCCTCATTTTCTTGGTCTTACCTCTAATATGGGTGGGTTAGGGTGTGTGTGTGTGTGTGTGTGTGTGTGTGTGTGTGTGTGTGTGAGAGAGAGAGAGAGAGAGAGAGAGATTTGTTCTATGTTGGTGCAATCTTAGTCTGTATGTGTGTAAGATTTGAGACCTCTGTGAATTTCTGGTGAGAATCGATTTGGAAGACTGAGTTGTGCTTCATTCTGAATTATCTTTCAATCTTTCATTCTTATTCATATATGTTTATTCATGTTTGATATGTCTAACATTATTTCTGAGTTTCTATAAGTTTCTTCGAGTGGAAACATGACAATATTTCGTTAGGGCGTTCGTAAAAGAAATGATTCCTACTCGTGTCAAGCGCAAAAGAGGAAAGTGGAAGAAAAGTGGAAAAATGAGGCAATTTATCCTACATATAAGACAATCCAAAGAAGAAAAAAGTCATATTTAAGTATATATGCAAGACAATCAAATGAAAAAAGGAAGATCGGTACTTATTGCAACAACTGCAACAATTTTCGGTTCAATTCGGTCAGTCTACTGGCCAAGTGAACACCCTTATTTGATCGTATAAAATCATATTACAACAACGTTACATAAATTAATTTTGTGAACCAAATAAATAATCCCAACATGTCAAAATAATGAATTAAAATAAAACTATAAATATGAAAATAATATGGGGGCACGTATATAGATCAATTACAAATGGTGGTCCGAGTTCCCACTGGTTTAGATAATTAGTCTAGTCATGCAATAGAGTGGCTCCCAATAATACAGCAATAAATGATCAAGAACGTTGCCACTCATATTAATATTTTTCATTAAAAAAATTATTTTTTTATTGATTATTTCTTCAATCCGATCCATATATTCTCAATCATACACCGGCAGCGTAGATCCATATATATTCTCAATCATACACCGGCAGCGTAGGGGCATATCTACGGTCTCTTCTTCTTTTCTTTTTCTTTTTTTCTTGTTTCATGCATCTCATGTGAAGAACTCGTCAACATGTAAAATATAAGTTGCCTCTTTTGGAAAACAAATGGAAAATGACAAAATTGACCTCTTGCGTATCGATTAAGATACAATAATTTAGAACCAATGATGAACGAAATCAACCATGATGTGATCGATCAGATCAAATCAAAACTAACTCGAGAAATCAAGCGCACAAACACCTTGCAAATTCTCCGACATTCCAAGCTAAATTAAACAGAAAAAACTCTAGAAATGGCTTCTAAACACATAATATATTGAAAACACGAATAAGAGAAGAACATATTTTATATATCTTTGTAGTTAATTAATTTAATTCCCAACCACTTTGAACAACATACACAAACTAATTTGGTAATACATTATTAGTGTGTAATTAATCAATAGTCCCCCCCTACTCTCACAATTTGTTATTGCTATTTTTGAACAATCATATAAATTATCCTCATCAATCATTTACCCTAAAACCAAACGCCCTCATCTACCATATTACGCCTTACATAAATGTGGTAGGCCTTAAATAACAATTCACAAAAAGTTGCTGCGCTTGCCTACTACCGCAAACATTTACACCTTCACAAAAATACAATGAAAGTACTAAATAAAAGGGGATGTAATAAATATTGTTTCGATTCCAGAGGTGATTTTGGCCATTTTCGATGGTGATTTTGGCAAAACTCAAAATACAGAATTTGTTGTTCTTTGAGTTAGCTTACTGATCCAACTTGAATCACCAAGATTGGATGTTGGTTGAGAAAGATATGCATGAATCAGTAAACACCGCCCACAATTTTGATATTTTGAGTTATCTAAAATTGGAAATGTAACTCGTTGATGCATAACTTTGTCGTCCGACATCTGATCTAGATGATTCAAATTGTAATAGAAACCTATCTCGAAGGACTGCAATTCTCATGTTCTGAATTCTAGGAAAACCATACTCGAAAATGGTCAAAATTACATCCAAAGTCAAAACAATATTATTAAATTTCGCATATACAATTACATCTATTTTGTAATGCTAAACATTTCAATTATATAATGGGAATAATTAATAAACTTTTACTTAGTTTTGTTATTCTTGTAAGAACATAGAGATGCACAAGTTTGATATATCTATCTATATATGAAGGATGTACACCGGATGATTTTTAACCATTGATCTGATAAAATAATCGTCCACTAAGCACATATACACATAGATATGTGTGTAATTATATGCAGATCAACAGTTTAATCATCAAGTGTAGCATCAAATAAACCGGAATATTCATAAGATTTTGAACTTATTCACATGCCTAATTCATCAACGTTTTCTTTTTTCTTTTTTTTTTTTTAAATTATTTATTTAGAGTTGTTGGGAGTTGAGTGAAATAATTAGTGATTTTAATTAAAGGCAATGGTCACATGTGCAACTTGGACAACCTCCGATTGATGTAACTCGGTCGGGTTCACCCAATCCATAATCCTTACTTATACCAAATCTTTTCTTTCAAATTTCTCATCAAAAATAAAATCAATCATTTCAAAAATAAATAATAAAAAAAAAACGTTAAATCAAACATGGATTTGTTCCTCATATTCTCGTACTTTGTCGCTCTTATTCCTCTAATCTACACAGTATGGAATATTCTCGATCAAAGACGGCATCAAAACTGCTACATACTCGACTACGAATGCTACAAAGCCGCCGACGAAAGAAAACTCAGTACAAAATTCAGCGGCGAGATTATCCGTCGGAACAAGCACCTCGGCATCGCCGACTACAAGTTCTTGTTGAAAGCCATCGTGAGCTCCGGCATCGGAGAAGAGACCTACGCGCCTAAAATGGTCTTCGACGGCCGAGAAGCCACTCCGTCGCTCTCCGACGGGGTACTCGAGATGGACGAGTTCTTCTCCGACAGCGTCGGAAAACTCCTCGCCCGAACCGGTATCCACCCCTCGGAGATCGACGTGCTCGTCGTGAACGTCTCGATGCTCGCCACGTGTCCGTCTCTTTCGGCTAGGATTATTAACAAGTACAAAATGAAGGAGGATATAAAAGTGTACAACCTCTCCGGAATGGGGTGCAGCGCCAGCTTGATCTCCGTCAACATAGTGCAGAACATATTTAAGAGTCTACGGAATCGAAACGCCGTCGTCGTGACGTCGGAATCGCTGAGTTTGGGGTGGTACAACGGGAACGATAGATCCATGATACTAGCGAATTGCTTATTCCGAACCGGCGGCTGCGTTATGGTGCTGACGAATAAGCCGGCGCTGAAGAACCGAGCCATGCTCGAGCTGAAGCAGCTCGTCCGTACGCACCACGGCTCCAGAGACGAGTCGTACGGCTGCTGCATACAGAAGGAGGACGAAAACGGACTCGCCGGATTCCACCTCGGGAAGAATCTCCCTAAATCCGCAACCCGCGCCTTCGCCGATAACTTAAAACAGATCGCCCCCAAAATCCTCCCGGCGACCGAGCTCCTCCGCTTCGCCGCCGCCCTGCTTTTCCGCAAACTGCGCGGCGGCGCCGGTGCGAGGCCGGTGATAAACTTCAAAAAGGGGGTGGAGCATTTCTGCCTGCACACGGGAGGGAAGGCGGTGATAGACGGGATAGCGGAGAATCTGGGGCTGAGCGAGGATGACGTGGAGCCGGCGAGGATGACGTTGCACAGGTTCGGGAACACGTCGGCGAGCAGCCTGTGGTACGTGCTGGCTTACATGGCGGCGAAGGGGAGGCTGAAGAAGGGGGATAGGGTTTTCATGATTAGCTTCGGGGCTGGTTTCAAGTGCAACAGCTGTTTGTGGAAAGTCCTGAGAGACTTGGATGGGAGGAATAATGTGTGGGAAGATTCCATTCACACTTACCCGCGCACCAATTTGAATAACCCGTTTTTGGAGAAATACGGGTGGATCCATAATGAGGATTCGGGTCAGTTTCACTTACCCGATGATTACGAAATACCCGATTAATTCAATAATTCTTTATTATTATTATTATTATTATTATTATTATAATATTCTATTAAGTGCAAATGACACTTATACCCTTGTGGTTTGAACTTTATTGCACATGACCACCTTTACTTAGAAATTTCATATTTCTGACGAGTGTGATTATTTACCTAGTGGAATACTATTGGGGAATAATGTGATTATATTGAAAGTATAAGGCGGTTATGTGAACAAAGTTCAAACTTCAGGAAAGTTGAGTGTTATTTACCCTTTTATTCAATACTAATTCTTTTAATATGAAAAAGTGTATTTTATTGTGTGTGTGTGTGTGTGTGTGTGGGGTTGTTATAGTGTTACTGGTTGACCCTGTATTGTTGGTTTGTATGAAATGTATATCTACCATTGTTTACACATGTTGCCTGTTTGATCCTCTAATATATTTTAGGTGTCATTTATGTATGCTACGTCAATTATTTTATACACTTTGCCCCCATTTTGGGGTTCTTGCAGTTGCAATAAATTTAATTTATTCTCACTTTCTCTTGGAATTTTAGCAAAAAAATAATTAATGATTTTTTTCTTTTCCTTTCAATTAATAAATAATAAACACAAGTTCAATTTCGGTATATATAGTCATATACATATAAGAGACCAGTTTCATCTTACCGTATTAAACATGTATCCAACGCAGGATAACATTTCTAAATGTTGAAATATTGTATTTTTTTTCGATAGATATTTTTAATAATATAATTTTGTTATGAAAAATTAAAAATACGTATTTGATGGGATAAGCGTTACAAACGATACTTCAAGGGGCCGGGTCAGTGTTATATTATGTATACTTTAGGGGTGTAAAGTGGATTTAATCATTTAACCACATAAATTATGAGTAGAAAATACAGTAATTATGAGAAATCACTGTATATTTTTCACCGTGGTATACATCAATTATTAACTATAAACATAATAATGACGTAACTACTGTGGCATCCCCACACTTGAAAGGGAAAATCATTAAATGTAGGGAAGGGATCGCCTTCCACGTGTCTCAACAGCACCCACACACAGGGAAATTCATCCTCCCATATTTGTGGAGGAAAGATTTCATGGTTTTGCATATTTTTGTTTATAACGTATTACTTCAATATATATTTTTTTAAATATTAACTAGTTAATTAATCAAACGTTGAAATAAAATAAGAAATAGAATAAAGAAGCATAAATATAACAATTTGGATATGATTTTTTTTTTTTTTAAATATATGAATGTTTGAATTATTCTTTAAAATGATTAAACGGGTCGAATACTCAAAAAAATAATATATGATTTTGAATTCAATTTGAAAGACTAATATAACAAAAGTATTAACTATTCTTTGGTATTTTGTTATCTTGCAATTAAAATAATTATTTAAAAATACTCCAAAATAAGACATACAAATACCTCAAGAATGAAAATCATTTCAAAAGTTAATATATCGTGATAAATTGAATTTGTGTTGATTAAAATCCTGAAAAATAGATCTAGGGATATTTTTTCATGAGATGTATAATTGGGGTGGACTTTGTATATTCTAAAATTCAGGGTGCAAACCGCCAATCAATGTCAAATTCGATATCACCCTATATTTATTGCCCACGAAAAAAAAGCTAACAAAAAAAACAAAGAATTAATGGGCTTGGGGCTCGTTTGGTTAATTGGATCGAATTAATATGGATTGATTTGACTGGATTAGATTAACTCAACGCTGACTAATTAATTAGTCCATTAGTAGGATGTCGGATTCCTTGGATTAGATTAGAACTACAACTAAATCTGTCTAATCATAAGAAACAAAGGGTAAAAATTTGTAATTTAGATATTATTCTCGGGTAGTCCTGTCATTATTAGTAGGTATCTACTATTCAAAGCGCACGCATGCAAGGGGTGGGGCACCGACTAAATTATGAGAATTAATAGGAGTTAGTTGTGGACGCGTACTTTTACGGCGTACTTCACTTTGTACGAATCTTGTTAACTGAACGTGTTATTAGTCCCTACTATTAGTTAGTAGTAGGGAATAGCACCAAACGAGCCCTCAGTCTAAAAATGTAATCTGGTTCGTTAAAGAATAGGTCCAAGTCCAACACAAGAAATATAAGCTTTAAATGGGCCGAATAAAAAGTAGCAAACCATTTGGTCCGATGTTATCTATTTGATATTTGAATTGGATCTAGTTGGTGAAAATCGAACAAATCAGATCGGAATCGGTATCTTTTCCAAAATTTTTGATTTTTTTCGGAAGTGAATAACTAATTCCAATTTCGTTGAAGAAAAACCGTAGATCGGATATTTTCGGATCAAAGAAGCTCTATACATATGATTCAATCACACACCATAACTCGATTTCCCCCCAAATTTTATTCACTCACAAAATTCATAGAAAAGAGAATCACAGATTAATTAACTTTTATAGCACAAATTTAAAAAAAAGCATATAAATAACTTAATAAGTGATATAACATAATTGGGGATATATGAATTATGATACATCAATGCCCGAAAACAACAACCGGGTCGACCCGCGGGACCACGCAACAGATCAATTCGTTAGCCCGCGGGGCGGCCAATCCGGGTCGTTCCGTCATGTCGACCCGCCTGCAACCAACACCGTCGGGCAGTTTCCAATCAAAGCACTGAATCATGGTCCCGATTACAAGCACCAGCTCCTGCAAGGCTAACATCATGCCCGGGCAGCCCCTCCTGCCCGAGCCAAAGGGCAGCAGCTCGAAATGCTGCCCCTTAACATCAACCGAGGCATTTTCTTCCTCCAAAAACCGTTCGGGCAGAAACTCCAACGGTGTTTTCCAGTACTCAGGGTTCCGCCCCATCGACCAGTTGTTGACGAACAATAGGGTTTTGGCGGAGACTTTGTAGCCGTTGATCGTGCAATCGGACGATGATATTCTCGTGATCATTGGAATCGGAGGGTGGAGGCGGAAAGTCTCCTTGATGATCGCCATGAGGTAAGGGAGATTGGGCGCATCCGATTCCTCCACCAATCTGTCCGAACCTACGACTTCGTCTATCTCTTGTTGGGCTTTCTTTAGTATTCTAGGGTTGTTGATTAGCTCCGCGATTGCCCATTCCGTGGCGATCGATGTTGTGTCGGTGCCCGCAGTAAAGAAATCCTTGACAAATATATATATACGACACATGAATCAATATTGTCATCTTGAAAACTCGTATTTTTGGTTAGTGTAAGGCCGTGTCCAATTCCAGTAAATAATCCGATGAAAATCCAATTGTACTGATCGGAGATCCAATAAATAATTTCTCAATTAGCCACGATAAGAGCCGGTTTTTTTCCATAATTATGGGCTAGCTGATGGTCAGAAAAGTTATAGGAATAACCAAATATTCAGTAAAGTCCAATTATTTAATTAATCATGACAAATATTACCGACCAAACGACGGGACAAGTGTTTGTCGTTTAAGATTATATATCAACACAAGCTAATATAAGTTGAAGCATTATCACCTTAACTAATGATTAAGCTAATTACTCCCTAATTAGTAATTAGTCATTAATTATTATTAATGGTAATATACATAGAAAGAAGATCTTACCAAAATCAAAGCTTTGAGATGTTTCCTGGTGAACTCGACCTCCGGTTTACCACTCTCCATAATATCCAAGAACAAATCAAGAAAATCATTGGCCTCCTCTACCCCGCCGCCGCGGCTCCGCCGCAGCTCCTCCCGGTCGGAGATAATCTTCTCCAAGAAAGCATCATACCTCCGGTGAATATCGAGGGCCCTCTTCTTTATCCCCTGCAAATCGAACCTCCTGCAGAACCATACAATATCCGAAACATTAAACTCCCCGAATATCTGCGTCACCTCCCGGAACACCGTCCGCGCCCCCTCCGCCGCCTCCCCCTCCGTCTCCGACGACCTGATTCCCAGCATCATCACAGAAATCACGTTGCTCGTCAGCTTCAGCAGCTCTTCGGTGAGGTTCACAGTCTCGCCGGATTTGCCCTTCTGCATGAGGATTTCGAGGAAGTTCTTGACCTCCGATGTACGGACGAGCTGAAAGTGGCGGAGGTTTCTGGGGCCGAGGAGCTCGGTGGTGCAGAGTTTCTTGATGTACCGCCAGTAGGGGCCGTTGGGGCTGAAGGCGAAGGAGGAGCCGTAGCCGTAGGTGATGATGTCGATGGCGGTGGAGTTTTGGCGGGAGGAGAAGACGAGGTCGTGGGTTTTGAGGGATTCTCTGGCGAGGTCGGCGGAGGAGACGACGGCGCAGGGGACGGAGCCCAGGCGGAGGTGGAGGATCGGGCCGTGCCGGAGGGACAGATCGTGGAAGGTTTGGTGGAGGCGTGGCCCGAGGAGGTGGAGGTGTCCGATGATGGGGAGGGCGAGTGGGCCTGGAGGAGAGGAGGGGCGGCGGCGGCGGCCGCGTATAACGAGGAGGAGGAGGGTGGCGGAGAGGACGATGAGGGTGGCGTAGCCGTGGAGTGATATTTCCACTTGGTCCATCTTGCATGTATGTTACGACGCGTGTGGCTTCACTTTATACTTTATAGGAAGGAGAGAGAGAGAGAACTTATTTATTTATTTATTTATTATTATTATTTTTTTGGGAGAAATTAATTAGGTGATTAGGGAAATGGTCTCGAACCACTAATTTGATCTTATCATATTGACAATAGTCAAGACTCAATTAAAAAAAGGGTTTTGGAAAAAAAATCGGATTCTCGAAAATTAAAATCGCATCGAAAATCAAAATCTAATATGTATTTTACCATTCTGTACCAAAGAATTAAAAATCGGAAATATTCGGATTGAAGTAGTGAGATATAATTTCATTTGGAATGTTAGGTCTTATAGTTGTGAGAAAATTTGTTTTGGACTGTTAGGTTTTGAAATGCGTATTTTCAAGAATTTTAAAGTAGAATAAAAAGAAAAGCAAAAATTTCTTTATTTTGTATATCTTTCTTTTTCTAAGAATTGTTGAAAGAAATTAAATTCTGAACGGAACGCCCTGCAATATGCATAAAATCAGATGTGACTCAATTTACGACGCATGTATAATTTCTTTTTTTTGTAAACTAACTTAATTATGGAGTAATCAAGATTAACACGGATTTAGATGGGTAGTTTGGGTCTATGAAACTAACTTAGTTTGGATCAAGCAGTCAAGTTAGGGTTCTAGGTGGCAAGTGGAATGAGTTAACTCCGTTAGGAAGTTGCTTTATACGGAGCTAAAGTCCGACAAATTTCATTAACCTTGTTATTCGATAAAGAAAGACAGTTGTAACTGCTAAGCTCATTCCAAAAGATTATATGAAGCATGTATATATATGATGTGAGTTAGTTAGAACACACGTTATAAACACAAAATGTGAGGGAATAGAGATCTGTAGAGAGTGAAGTAACGGAAGAAAATCTGTAGAAATTGAGTTCAAGATTAATAGACAGACTTGTGGTCTGTTGTATTTGATTTTATAGTGGATTTTGCTCACTCTTCTTATGGATGTTCATTCCGATCGAGCAACATTAAATCGTTCTTGTTCAATTGTTTGATTCAAACTTTCAGCCATTGCATGATAATTACGGTCCTTAGCTCATCTGTTGAATCTATATAATAGATTGATCGAATTGTTGCTAATTTCTTCAAAAATCTTTAGTAAAATACTTCATATGTTCCACAATAACTGTCTATTTTTTAAAATATTTTTGTTCCATATTATCTGTCACTTTACATTTCCAATACTGCTTTAAATGCATTTTTCTGATAAATCTTTCAATATTTCAATTTCGTTCTAAAACGCAAATTGAAAAAAAAAAAATCCGAAATCAAAACTTTGGAGTTCGAACGAAAAATATTGTTTCAAAATTGAAAATACTAATAGCTCGACAGAATTCGGACGTTCCGTTCCAATTTTCACCCTTAAACAAACTAATAGTTCCATAGCCGAATGAAACGTATGCCAAGTAAGTAGTAGTAAGCTGGTTATTTCATCGAACAGATGGCGGGCACTCTTGCTTTCGCCGCAATGGAGACGACGAAGTGCCCTTCTGAAACAGGCAATCACGACGGCCACGATCTTCCTGCATTCCAACTCCTTCTATCGTGTCCGTTGGGTCTTTCTCCTTCTGAGGTATTCCTCTGTTCCCAAATCCCCTTTATTTTATGCTTCCATACTTTTCTGCAATGGCAGCCGTTCCTCTGTGTTTAATTCTTCGTACCAGGTTTCAGTCGTGTTTGATCAGACTCATGATCGGATTCCCCATCCGGATGCCGGATTAGAAAGTTCAATTGCAGAGGTTTTATTCTTCACTTGCCGATTTTGTTTTTTTGCTGATCATTTTGTAAATTGTTCTAGGATGTTTAAATGTGAATTCAATTATTTTTTTTCTTTTAAATTAATTTACTTGGTAGATATGGAGCGAGAGAATTCAGCAAAACCCATCTCTGTTCAATGGACTAAAATTCAGGGTATGATAATTTTTGTCTGCGTTCGATTAGTTTACTTCTGTAATCTCACAATTGTGTATAAAGTATGCTTTGTGCTGTAAGTAGTTCAGTATATAGCAGTTCTTTAGCTCTCCGAATTTAAAGTCGAAAAATGTGGTTTACAGTATAAGTTCATTGATGAAAATTCTGAACTGAGATTGTTTTCTGTTGCAATCGATATTATTTATTCAGTTCGTAACTTGACAGTACGGCGGCCACTCCCCGTGTAGCGGACTTGATCCTTCTCAGAAGACTCGCGTATGCCTTCAACTTGGCTTGACGGATTACCGGTCTCTCTCTCTCTCTCTCTCTCTCTCTCTCTCTCTCTCTCTCTCTCTCTCTCTCTCTCTCTCTCTCTCTCTCTCTCTCTCTCTCTCTCTCTCTCACACACACACACACACACACACACACACACACACACACACACACACACACACATTGCTGCATTGTTATTGGTTATTATTTTTAACTTGATGGTTCTTGGCTCAGGACATTTGTGGGAACAAATTTGAATCCTATGTGGGAAAGGTTTCTCGTTCCATCCGAAGGTAAATATTCTTGATTACGACGTAATCTAATCTAAGACGTAAAAAAAAAAAATACAACCAGGTTTGAATTCCATAACTTTTTATTTGCAGACGATTGGATAAGGTGTCAACATACCTCTAATCCTCTCGGCAATGGTGCAATTGTGGAGACATCTGACGGAGAAATTGTTTTGCTGCAACGAAGTAATAACGTCGGCGAATTTCCTGGCCACTTTGTTTTCCCGGGTGGCCATCCAGAGGTACCTTTTTTCCAAAATTAAATCCAATTATCATCTTTACCGATAATATTGTAATGTTACAAATTTTGACAGCCCCAAGAAGTTGGCGTAGTAAGCCATCAGATCGATGGAGAGTTGACCCACGAGATGGTCAACAGAATGGTTTCTCAGGAAATGTTTGACAGCATTACTCGTGAAGTCGTTGAAGAAATCGGTGTTCCTGTTTCTACCCTGGTTAGTACTATACACTTTTTGGTTAAAATGTTACTAGAAAGTATTCGAAATGAGTCGACTCGATGCATTTGCTTATCGGGTCTTTCTGTCTACCTTTCGTATTACGGGTTTACGTCTTTATTGAATTGCTCGCTACAAATTATTATTCTTATCATGGCATGTTTGCGAATAGAATGGTACGTTTAGAGTCAATTACAAACACCTCCCGAGGTAAGGCTAAATTACAAAAAGAAAAAAAAAATCCTCTTGTTTTCCTAATTACATTTATTTCATGAGATTTGTCACTGTGTAACATTTTCCCTATTACGGCGGTCAACAATAACAAAATCTTTTAAATTCCAAGAATATTCGTTTCAAAATTTTCCTTTACAATGTTTCCGATTATAGTTTTCTGCGGAGGTACATTAGAATGACGGATCTTTCGACACTTTTCGATTAATGCAGGGAAACCCCATCTTTATCGGAATATCTCAGAGGGTGTTGAATGTTAGACCGACGGCTTTTTTCTTCATTAAATGCAGTCTTCCGTCAATTGAGATACAACGACTCTACTGCAATGCTCAAGATGGCTATGAATCAACCCATCTTTATACTATGCCAATGGTTAGTATATAGTACAGTTAAACCTCTATAAATTAATACAGTCGGAACTAGCAAAATTCTATTAATTTAGCGAAATATTAAATTAACGAACTAATAATTAAGTGGGCTTTTACCGAGTCGGGACCAGAAGAAACTACTATTTAAGATTAATTTATCGAGGTTCAACTGTATATACACTTTTATTGTAAGTCTCTCCAATAATTAGATTAAGAAATAACACACCGACTAAAATGCTATACAACTAAATTTAAGTAACATGCAAGATATAGTTATCTAAAAATCGAGAATTACAGAGGATATAATAGTAAATACTATACGTTGTTTATTTTTTCGATTTTCAGAGTAATTTGGGGAATATTACATCTAAAATGCCGGGATGTCATCAAGGAGGGTTTGCTCTCTATAAGTTGATGATAGACGATGCGAAGGAGAACTGAATCGAGATTCAAGACCGTCCTTTTCGTCTATGTTTTGCTGGTAATTTTCGTATTCATTTGCCGAATAATTTCTTCTATCTGAAACCATTTTTAAAATCCATTCATTTCAAATCGCCGAGTCCGTACGGTATATTTTAAACTGCTGTACTTTGAGCTATTTCTCGAGTCGAAATATTGTTTCGAATTTATTTATGTGAAATTATTTAAACTTTTTTCGACATCCTCCCGGTTAAATTCAAAACTTTCATCCTCTTACGTTATAAAGATTGTGAAATCCTGTGAAAAGTCGTGTCGAAAATGCAGACAATAGTGAAAAATCCCACTTTTAATTGTCTGCACTATGAAAATTTACAGCTTTCAGTTATAAATAAATGCTGCATAGTACAGTAAACTGAATTTTTAATTTTTAATTTTTAATTTTAAATAGCATTTAGTCTTTGATTTAATTTAATTAATGGCAGTGATGGTATAACATTGCATTACATATACTATGAGAGTAGTTGTATTGGTTGTTTTGATATAGGAATAAAATATTACTTAGAATATGACACAACTAAACAACTCTTTTTGCCCATCCCTACATTTGGTCAACTAGTGACGAAACCATGATTTCATCACTGGAGGGGCCGAATATATACATAAAAAATAACGTATTTCAAGAATGGTGAGTTTAGGATAGCATTAGGGGATGAAGTTAAATTTTCAGGGGTTTAGGGGCAGCGCCCTCAAAAATAAAGATTAGGATTTCTTTTACAACAAAATCGGAAGATAAGAAAAGAAAAAGTTAGATTCTTTTTTGAATTCATTTGAATTTTGGGTGGACTAAATAATAAAAAAAATTGAACTTCTTTAACCTAATTGTTAAACTCTTTTACTATTTTTCTTTGTTTTCTTTAATTAAAAATATTGAATTTATATAAAATTAAATTATTAAAAATTATAGGAGCACAAAAACTATAATTTTAGGGGGGCATGGACCCCCTAGCTATACATTGGCCACAACATTTTATTGTCTAGTGCAAATATGGAGTCCTAATTTGAGAGATGTCATTATCAATTAGTTGAAGTTGAAATATTTGTGGATGTGTTCATCGTGCATGAATGTATGGATAACAAGGAATCGTTGACTTTCAAAATGCAAAGAAAAGACAAAAACAAGGCTTGATATAAATAATTCATAAATTTATTAGAGTTGATATTTCTATGACGTGATATATATAGGTCTCCAATTTGAATTTTCTTTTAAACAATTTGTCTACTCTTTTAAATCATTAATTAATATTATTCAATTTTCAAAGACTGGCATATTTTTCTCCTTGAAGCTTGTAATTACCAAACAATTTACATATATATGCTCGATGCATAACTCAATTGGTGGAACAATCATACTACGAGTCCTCTTATAAGAAATAATAAAATAAAAGGTTCGCATGGGTATAGCTCAACTGCTATTGGGGGTGGTAAGTTGGTGCAATGTCCTAATATCGAGTACTGATAGCTGCAATATGTGTATTTCAACTACAACGAGAATTGATTCCTTGTTGGCATCAAACTCAAGTCCGTTATCTTAACGGACCGTTGAATCCTCATGATTTATATTTATCCATCAAAATATATTGGGTATGGAGATGTGGTGAGAGATTTCACTTTTTGGTGGAATAATAATAAAATAAGAAGTAATAATTTCAATTTATTTTTTAATTTTTGTTTTGGATTGTTGATGAAAACTAACACTTCCAACTTAACACACGGAGTTCTATGTAAATAGTATATACACTACGTTAACAGCCCATTGAATCACCATAACTTATATTTCTCTATCAAATACTTGTCGAGGATAGGAACTCTTCGGACGAGAGATTTCATTTTTTAGTGCAAGTATATACGAGAGATTACGACTATTCCCATCCCCTAAAAAAGAAAAAGAAAAAAAAAACACTAAATGAAACTTAAATGCAGCACTTGCAGATTTTAGCTGCATCTCCACTCTCAAAAGAAGCGCGTGTTGTTTATGATTTCCACTATTAAAAAAACAAATGAGCGCAAAAATGAAAATAAAGGCCAACCAAACAATCAGGGAACCACATTCGGCGCGTGGGGTTCCGTTATTACCGTTGGTTGTTCTCACCTTCCTTTATTCTTTCATATTTGGATTTTTGCCACCAGTAAATATAAGTATTTCCATTTTATCACCTTTATCTTTTCTAAATTCTGAAAGAAATATTTAATCAAATATGCTTTAAATAAACATTTAATTTTATCTCCAAATACATTTATTTATTTAAGAATTTCTCCATCACCACCACCCCACCCCCATCATAATCATCTTTACAAAAACAAAAGGGGGGCCATTTTCTATTTGTTTAACCTCTGTTTCTTCCTTTTCATTTCAGACGCCTGCTTGTGATTCAGCAACAAAATATTTATTTATTTATATATTTATATAAAAAATAAATACATATATATAACATATTGATGTGTATGTAAAGGTTTTTGTTGCATACATGTGCATTTGATGTCCCCCATTATCTTAACCTCTGGCTTTTCTCTGTTCCTATATGAAAAAGAACTGCATCAACCCTGATTCTTTTTTCTAATTTAATTCAATTAGATTTTTTTTTATTCCTTTTTTCGTTTAATACGATATCGTTTTTGTTCGATCATATGTATCGATGTTGGAATGTATGCCGTATTCGTTGGCTCTTGCTTCGGAGCTAAGGTACATGCTCTTTGATTTCATTTTTTTTCCATTTATATACATTTGATATGATCATTTGAATATATATACATACATATATATATTTATGTATATATGTATGTATGTATTAGAATCTGTAGTAATTTGATTGATGAAATTAAATTATAGCAATCACAAATTTAATGTTGTAATAAACAATTGAATTATGTGTTATTGCTTTTGTGCAGAGAGTTCAACAAAGACTCATGAATAATAAATGAAAAGTTTTGAAGATCAAAGTCATTTTCTCTCTCTTCATCTGAAATAAAGGGGAGAGAGAGAGAGAGAGAGAGAGAGAGAGAGATGGAGACAACATCGGCAGGACAAACGCCGACGACGCCGAGGAAGAAGATGACGAAGCAGCTGACGGGAAAACGAGACGACACGGCACTGCATTCAGCCGCGAGAGCTGGAAATATAATAGCGATACGAGAGATCATAAACGATGCTGCCAGAGAAGAAGAGCTGATGGAGCTGTTGTCGAAGGAGAATTCGGCTGGAGAAACGGGGTTGTACATTGCTGCCGAGTACGGCTACTTTGAGGTTGTGAGGGAGATGATCAAGCACTATGACTTATCGGCTGCCGGAATCAAAGCCAGAAACGGTTTCGACGCTCTCCACATTGCCGCCAAACAAGGCGACTTAGGTACCAATTTTTTTTTTTTTTTTTTTAATACGGACGTAAATACCCTCGATTTTCTTCGATTGGATTACGGAATTTCGAAAAATGAATTAAAAACAGAGGTGGTGAAGGTGTTGATGGAGTCGCATCCGGAGCTGTCGATGACAGTCGACATGGCTAACACGACAGCGCTGCACACGGCGGCAACTCAAGGGCGGATCGAAGTGGTGAACTATTTCTTGGAGCAAGAGAGCAGCCTCGCCACGATAGCAAGGAGTAATGGCAAAACTGCCCTTCACTCTGCGGCGAGATACGGTCATTTAGAAGTAGTTAAGGCCCTTTTGGGCAAAGAGCCTAGAATCGCTACTCGGACGGATAAAAAGGGACAAACAGCTCTTCACATGGCGGTTAAGGGTCAAAACCTCGAAGTGGTCGAAGAGCTCATCAGAGCCGATCCTTCGACTATTAATATGATTGACACTAAGGGCAACACCCCGTTACACATTGCTGCTCGAAAAGGCAGGCCTCAGGTAATTTTCCAGCAATTTCGATTTTTTTTTCTCGTTTTTTTTTAATGTTTTATGCCCCTCATGAAGATTAGGAGATTCAAAATGTAGTTTCTTCTAGTAATATTGATAGTACAAGTGTGATTTTCGAAAATTAATAATCAAATGGTAAATCGAAGTCTAATACGTATTCCATTTTCGTTAAAAAAAATATCGGAATTCGGGATGAAAAATAATTAATTCTTCTTATTCCAACT